CATTTTTATGCATAAATCTTTTGTGCATATTACATTTTTTGTGTGGTTCTCAGAAGAGAGTATTATTGATATTTTTTACACACATTGCCGAATTGCTATCTACAAAGATGGTACTAATTTATACCCCAGCAGCAGGGCTAGCTGGTTTGGAAGAAGGTGTGTGTGGAGATTGGAAAATGCTGCCTGTTAAGGAGGTGGCACGAGGAAGTGGGAGGTAAGCAGGGGTGGCCTTTAGCATCCGTGCTCTTTACCCACTTAGATGAAGCAGACAAAATGCCAAAGTTGCCCACAGTGGAAGTCCGTTCTATTGCCTCTGGCTGCACATCTTTTTGGCCTGAGCACCGGGACTCCTCCAGTCCTGTTCAGTATGGCAAGTCAGTAGGTCTTAGTTCATCCGCAGGAAGACGCTATCTTTGTAAATTTCACCAGAGTAATGAAGTGCCTTTCAAAGACAAAGCAGCTGATCAAGAAAATATTCCTAGGCTTATCTGTGTGTGTGTGTGTGTGTGTGTGAGAGAGAGAGAGAGAGAGAGAGAGAGAGAGAGATGGCAGCAATGGCGTGGGGGAGGGGTGTCAGCTTGAGAACAGTTGCCATTAAGAAGAAATCAACTGATCAAAGGAATTGACTTTGCCATTTTTCCTGGGTTTTCTGAGTTTGTTTTGTTAGCTCTGGCACACTGCAGTGAATTTAGGGCACCATGCTGTGGCCTTTTCATTAATACCTGGGAGGCTGTCTCTAGCCTATGGCACTCTGGTATATGGATTTGAAATATATAATTCACCAATTTCATATCTTGTGAGGCCACAGTTTTAATTATCCAAGAGAAGCATTTAGTTTTCTCTTGTGCTCTGAATTGGTGTTTTAGCTTTCCCTATTTTTTCCCTCCCTCCTTTGTCTTCTCTTTCATCCTAGCAATTATGTCTTGGCTGTAGGGCACTCATATTTCCCTTCCAATACATCCAGGGGCTCCATTTTTATTGTTTGCTTTGGAATTTCTGTATTTACTTCTTTATGTCTCTTGGCTTCTTTTTATAAAATCCCGACTACCAAGTACACTCTGCTTACCTTGTTTAGCAAGAACAAAATAACTTCTACCTATCCCAGAGAGGCAGACCCGGCCATGGGACAACGGAAACCATAGATTATTTACTGGCACAAAATGACCTCTTTCGACAGAGTAAAAATCCACTGGGTGAGAATTGGTAGCGTTTTCCTTGGGCATGTGAAAACTTTCATTTTGGCAGGCAGCATTGTAATTAATAATATAGGCTGTAGAATCAGATAAACCTAAATCAGAGTCCTGTCTCCACTTAATAGCTTCTGAATTTGGCAGCATTTTCTGCATCTCAGTTACTTCATCTGCAAAATGGGGATAATGACATTTAGCCCCATAGGGTGATTGAAAGAGTAAGTGAGATAACTCACATATACCACTCAACATAAGGCCTGGCCTATGTGCTCCATAAATGTTGGCTACATTTATTTTAATCATTTTTTATTATCATCACTATTTGTTTGAGTCGTAGAATTTCTCACTTGGTGTAACCTATAGGAAGGATTATTGTTTTCTTTCTAAATTCTATTTTTCTGATAATCTCAACAGATGAAAGTAAAGGGAAGTCCTTTCCTGGCAACCTGTTAATATTGTGATAAGAATTGTACGTTTCATGTGTTTCCCATCCTTTTGATATTGCTTAGAAAATAGCTGTCCATTTCCATGGTTCACCCAGCAGTGTTTGATTGTGGGTGTTTGATTAACTCATGCCTTAGTGGTTAGGGAAAAACATGGAGGAACCAGAGAAAGTATTTATGAAGAAGAAATTATCTCAGACATAAATATGTATCTAGCTTGTAATAGAATCATTCAAACAAGAGCCTGGAATCTGCCACTTGGATGCAGAGCTAAGAACTTGCTGATACAATTTCATTCCCACATACTCTCTCCCACGGAGCCTACTGTAAACACAATAAAATATTAATAACCAAAAAAGGACCTTCCTGAGGATGCAGCATGTTACAAGTTGTAGGGCAACAGCAGCAATTCTGTAAGATGTAATTCGAAGCATATATTTTGAAAAGAACCCACCCGAAATCTATAGCATGCTTGATTTAAATTGGCTGCTGTGGGCTAGCGTGTCTCCTTGAATTTTACCTTTCATTGCTCGTGTTCCTTTGCACAATTTTTTCCTTCCCTTCCTCCTATGATCAATTTCCCACTTGCACAAAGCATCAGATCTCTCAAAGGCTGATTTCGCACTGCTGAGCAAAACCTTCCATCTTTCTATTCTGTCCTTCTGGGAGGTGGTGTGTATGTGGCGGGGGGGGGGGCAGGGAGCAAAAAACCTTTAAAGTAAGTAAGATTTTTTTTGTGTGTAGGTGTTTTAAAACTGTTCCGTTGTTCTGCATCATGATCATTTCAATGGATTGACAACCCAGCCACTTGGGCTTTCGTCTCTTGAGGATGATAAAGCCCCTTGGCTGGAACTCAGCGCTTTAGTTAGGTGTCTGAGTCTCCATGTGGGCAGCTGACCCTGCTGCCTTATAGTGATCCCAGCTGCGAGAAATGCATCAGTGACACACGCAGAGTGTGCGAAGTGGCCACATAAAATCCTCCTTTTCTCTGTGCTACCACCTGAAGAGAAACAACTGATGGTGAAATAAGGTCTTAATTTTTGGTTATTTTTGTTTTTTGAGCTACTAAAAATTGAGCCCAGGGCATTCACATAGGGCTACATCCTCACCCCATTTTGACTTTGAGTCCTACCACATTACCCAGACTGGGACTGAACTTGCAATCCCTGTACCTTAGCCTCTGGGCTCATTTTTGTACAAAGACTCTTTGTGGGATGATATGGGATACAATTGTAATTTTTACAAGTGTGACCAAAATGTGATTTTTTTTTCTTCGGATAGTTGGTGGTGACGGGGAGAGCATGTGAGACAGGTGTAACTTATCTCAGAGGCAGGGAAACTGTTGGGATAGTGACTTGATGTGAAAGGAGGTGTTTCACAATGAGGCTCACATAGTTTCTCAGGAGAGGGTTAAAAGGCTCTGTATGAAAAGAAGACAGGTTTGGGGGAATTAGCTATTCCTCCTTTGACGGCTGGAGGTGGAAAGTTTGTAAGGAGACTTCTGAAAATAGGAACTCCAGGGAACTCTGACCAAGTTTTAAGTTTTTGGTGTTGCCTTATTGAATGCTCATAATATCACAATATATTAGGTGCTGTGTGCATACATGTGTGTGCATGTATTTATTTGAAATTCCCATAAAATAAAATGAAACATTTAAAAACAAACAACTCAGTACATTCATACCATTGTGCAACCACTACCTCTATCCAGTTCCAGAACATTCTCATGACCCCCAAAGGACTCCCTGTAACCATTGTGTTTATTTCCTAAGTGCTACAGTTGGGTGACCTAAAGCAACTCATTGTCTCATAGTGCTGCCAGTTAAAAGTCTGAAGGAGTTTGCAGGACCGTGCTCTCTCCGAGATTTTCAGTCCCCTCTTTTCTTGTCTCTTACTAGTTTCTAATGTGGCTAGCAATGCTTGGTAATCCTTGGCATCCAGCTGCATCATCCCAATCTCTGTTTCCACCTCCAGGGACCTTCTATATATATGCACATTATCTTCTCTCGGCTGTCTCTGTGTCCAAATTTACCTCTTTTATAAAGGTACCAGTTATACTGGATTAGAAACAACCCTTATGATATAATGTTAACTTGATTATCTCTGAAAGTCCTATTTTCAAATACGGTCATACTTTCAAGTGCTTGGGGCTAAGATATCAACACATCCCTTTTGAGGAGCATAATTCAACCCAAAGTATGCATTAAACAGTTGCTCTTCTAGGCTGGGGATGTAGCTCAGCAGCACAGCACCTGCCTGGCAAGTGCAAGGTCCTGAGTTTGATTCCCAGTGCCAAAAGCAAACAAAAAAATCTGTTACTCTTCTTTCTCTCTCCGCCATTCCATTCCCCAGCACCACCAGTTTGCTTCCTTTCTCTACCTACTCTGGACATTTAATATATTTTACGTCTGGCTTCTTTTATTTAGCTTAATGTTTTTGAGATTTTTCCCATGTGATAGTGTGCATCACAACTTATTCTTTTTAATGACTGAACGATATCATGCTTATTTTCCAAATGAAGAAACTGAGGAACATAAAGGTTAAATAATGTGTTCAGGATGATACAATGAGATGTTGGGTGTAGAAACTGAAACTAGGAGGCCAGTGAGAGTTTCTGTAAATCCAGAGGGAAGTGAGAACCAGAAGCAAGCAGAGAGAGATAGCTGGGGGACAGCAGGAAGAGGCACAGGGCGTCTTAAGAATGGTGTCTACTACCCAGTGTGAAGTGTGCTTCAGCGTTCTTTTTTTCCAAACCTTCAGAGAATTCCTCCTCACTTTACTGTTTTCTATTAAGTATGCTTTGAAGAAATAATGAAAAAACATACTGAGAAGAGATCAAAATTTGGAAAAGATGACTTGAAAAACTCTTATGGACACTCTTATGAATTCACAGGTGCTTGACTAAGCTGTTTGTTGAACTATTAAAGGAGGACCCCAAGGGAAATATAAAATGCGGGACAGGCCCACATATGAGCTTCATTCATTAGCTTGAGTTTACTCAGAAGCTCTGACTGTCCCCCTCCTGACTGAGACCTATGGTATCTTCTTTACCTTCCCAGGACAAGTGGGTACCAAAAGGTTTTATAGCATTAGAGAAGATGCTAAAGTTGTTCCTATGTCAAGTCAGTTTCAGAATATTCTAGAAGTTTTTAAAATTGCATGAGCCAACTTGCCAAGGCAGAGAGATAAGGGTTTTTTTTTTTTTTTTGGTTATTGTTGTTTTGTTTTGTTTTTTATGTGTGTGATACAAAGCACAATTGTGTATAAGGATGTTTACATATTCCTTGTAGGAGCCAAGGCATACATTGGTTTTCTAGGGTTGCCATAATAAGCCACACAGAAATAACAAAAATGTATTCTCTTACAGTTCTGGAGGTTAGACAAGGTGTCAGCCTGATGGATTTCTTCTGGAAGTCTCAGAAGGACAGTTTGATATGGACAGCGACAGTGAACTTAAAGGCTAAATTCTTGGTGAGTCATCAGTTCTTCTGCCTCTGCTGGCTATGTGAAGAACCAGCCAGGAGTGTGTGGCTCCTGCCTTAGCCTGTCTGAGGTCCTGAAGCCACCAGGGTGTAGAGTCATTGCCTTTATTCATTATCTTGAAGATGTGAAATGTATAGGTTTATTCATTAGGTTTAAAGATGTGAAATGTATGTGGAAATAGAAGCTAAGCTGTGTCACATGGAGTGCAGACAGAATGCTCTTGCAATTGCTACTTCTGTGATTTGTCATCTATTGTATAGCATATACCTGTAATCCATGTACAATTGGCCCTCTGTATCCATGGGGTCTGTTTCTATGGATTCAACCAACCTGAGATTGAAATTATTTGAAAAAAACTGCATCTGAATTGAACATATACAACCTTTATACCTCTTGTCCTTTTGCCCTGAAAATATATAGTATATCATTTATTTACATAGTATTTATATTGCACCAAATACTATAAATCATCTAGAGATGATTTAAAGTATATAAAAGGATGTGTGCAGGTTTATGTGTAAGCATTAAGCCATTTTTATATAATGGACTTGAGTATCAACACATTTAATTATACATGGGAGAGTCTTGAAACCGACCCTCTTAGATATCAAGGGATGATTGTATTGGTAGTACAAAATGCCCCCCCAATCAGTCTGTTAATTGTCCAGGTAATAGTTCCTGTTACAGTTCCTGTTACTACTGTCTCCTAAAAATGGCTGGTCACTGTGATGCATATTGTAGAAACCAGCTGAAGACAGACAAGTACCTATCTCTGTACTCCCCCTTTGGACCCCATAACAACCTCCCTCCCTGGGCCTTTGGGGCCTGACATTTTTATAAGGATGGATTCTTTGTCACTGCCCATCTGATGTTAAATAAATCTTCCTCCAAACCCTGAGTGTCATTTTGGTGTTTCTGTTTGCCAGTGATGCTATTATCTCCCCTTTATATTTTTGGCAAAACTGAAACAAATTCTTTCAATTAAAGAAAAGGCATATGTTTAATGAAAAATTCAGTCCTAAATAATCTTTCCTCAAGAATGTTGATGATGAGTGTGCAATTTGCCCAAATCCTTGTCAATATTTGCCATAAATTCTGGGGGCAGGAGTAACTTAAGTGACCACCTATAAACCCAAAACACAAAATTTTATGGAAAAGCTATTTCAAAAGTTATTCTTTTAAGATTATTCCTAGTGATGATATCTTAACCTGTGCAGATATGTGTACTGATCATGCTGGGAAGTATGACTGTGCAGTTAGGTAAAATGATTCTTCTCAGTTAATTTTGATTTTACTTTTTCTTGTGCACAGAAGAAAAGTGGTAGCTATTAATTAGATGGCTCCATTAGCAGAATAACTTCACAAGTAATTAAATGATGCCATTTTAGATCAGTTTCTTCAGGAGAAAACCAGTTAATTTAAATAATGGTTTCATGTTTTTACCACCCTTTTAATGGACTAAAAATAAAGCTTCTGGATGTTCATTCTGTTGAAGATATAGCATCTGACATTATTGTAATTTATAACTTCAGTTAAAAACAATTCAACAGCGAAAACTGCAGATATAGATTTTGGCAGAGTACAGCAAAATGGGAAAAATAGTGTTATTACTAAATTAAGAAATCTATGGAACAGAAATGTATTTGGAATTAAATGCAGTGTTTTCATGGTTCATAATTACACCCAAACAAGCTGAGATGGTCTCCCAACAAAATAGAAGCTACAGTTGACAGACATAACTATTTCTATTTATATACACGGAGAAATAGAACTACAAAATATTTGTGATAGAGGTGGTGTTGAATTGAAAAAGTGCGGCAGCCTGGCAGAACATGCTTTTTATCTTTTTTTGCATGATCTTAGATTTTAGAAATGTGTAAACCTTTGAAAAGCTACTTTGCAAATCAACTCAAGAATACTACAATGCATATTAACCTTTTACTTTTTTTTAAATGAGTCTTCTAAATTTTGTTTGCATTTGTTCAAAATCAGCTGATAATCTTTAGTCAAGCATTGAAGGTATGATGAGCCAAAAGACTTCAACTCTTGAAGCTTTTAGGAGAAATGTAATTAATTGAAAACCGAATAATCCACAAAATGGAGACGGAATTGAATGACTTGAACTGGAGATTAAATAATTAAGCTTTGTAATCTTTTAATTTACAGGAAGAATATTTTGATGGAGTTTTATTTGTAATTGAATAAATTCTATACTACAGTGGAATAAAACTGAGACCTATGGTTTTTTTAGCATGTAAATTGAGCAGCATATTTTTAAAAATCATAGAGATGATTTGTATGATGAATTTTGTCTTATCAAATACTTATTAAAGAAAGTTCTCCCAATGAAGAAAAAGAGAAAAGGAACTATGGAAAGATTTGAAATGAAATATTAATGTATTTCAGTAAGAACAAATTATAATTGAGGATATCCATCATTTATCAGAATTAGTTCTTAGCTTACAAGGTGCCTTAGCACTTGTAGGAAAAATATTTCCTTTATTAAAAATACAATAATCTCCAGGTGTGATGGCATAGACCTGTGATCCCAGCACTTGAGAGGCTGAGGCAGAAACATCACTGTGGCTGCATCGTAAATTCAAGGCCAGCCTGAACTACATAGCGAGAGAGATCTTGTCTTTCTAAAAACCAAAAAACTGAAAAATTGAAAAATATTACAATAATTAGCAGAGAAGAAAGAGCCAGTTGGAAGGGGTTGATAATTTCTAGTTTATGAAATATAAAATTCAATTTTGAAAAAGATTTCAATTTTATGAAATAGTTTTAAAACCACATATCAAGGTATATTCTTTAAAATATCAAATACATGGTATCAGATTGATATGACTCTAGAACTGATTAGGACAAGTGATTAGGAAACTAATATTCCACTTTTATTATTTTTATATGTTCAGACAAATTAACCTAATGAGCTTTAAAATTTTTGCTTTGACATACATTGTATTTTTTTACTTTTAGAAATGACTGTATCTTTGGAAATAATTTATGACTTGAACTATTTTATAGACCTACCATTATACAAACCAATTTGTCAATCTATAAATGCTTTCTCTGAAAAATTATAAAGTTTTATTTATTTTTCTTTCACTCTCAAAATTATCCCAGTGTGGATAATAAATTATATAGTCGCATAGTTAAAACAGATGTCTATTCCGAGTGTTTTTTTTTAATCCCATTACCTCATTTATGGCTTCTGACAATGATTCATGGTCATTGTGCACTTTCAGAGTCTCAAATGGCAAGAAGAGAAGACAGCGTCCTAATGAGGAAGAAATTTCTCAGCTGGGAAACGAGTGTACCTTGGGGACTGATGGTTTTTGCTCTTTTCTTCTCCCCACTGACTTTGACTTATCTCTCCCTACTGTCAAGTCCGTAGTGGTGACATCCGCCTCTCATTGGTAACTCTTCATTCAGTAAATAATCATATTTTAAAAGTTTATTTTGATAATTGTATTTTCACTCATCAGTTATCTTTAACAGATAACCGATCATTTTGTTGTTTATTTAAATTGACAGTATACAATTTCTTGAAGGGCAGAAGGAAAGTGTAATTCTTTTAGTATTATTTCATACTATGCACAAGCATAGCTACTAATGACTTCATTAAGTGACAATTAAGTAATTGTGGCTTAAAAATGCCTATTTTGCAGAAACCCACACAGTGAATTGTGTTGTATGTGACTAAGGAACATAGATGACCTAAGGAATGCATGATTTTTTCCTTTAATGTAACAGAGTATGTGTTTTTGTTATCCAAAAATTCACTGTTCGGGAAAATCTCAACAAACAATTAGATTCAGAAAATGTGGGTCACCTATATTGGTGGAGTGACAGGTGGTGGGGAGCGCAGTACTAACGACTGAACCCACAGCCTTCACACTGAACTATATAGCCTCAGCTCCTTTTCTATTTAAAAAAAAATTTTTTTTTTATTTTGACACAGGATCTTACTAGGTTGCTAAGAGGTCCAGGCTGGGATTGAACTTGCTTCTGCCTCCCAGAGTTCTGAGATTAGTGACTTGTTAAATGTCAGGGACTTTTCTAGGCACTGGGGATTCAAGAGTGAACACAGTGAACAGTTTGTATCTTTTTTAGAGCTGACCTTGGGCAGGAGGAAGGCGGCATTAAAATAAACCAGTTATTAAGAAGTATGTCAGGGTAGATGCATCCTAGAGAGAGGGACAAATGTAGCTGGGGAGCACAAATGGGACTGATGCTAAGTTATTTTGTCAGAAAAAGTCTTTTTGATTAGGTGCAGAGACCAGAATGGAGTGAGAAAGGAAGCCATAGGATGTGGAAGGAGGGTAAGCCGGGCAGGAAATGAGAGCAGGAGGCGCCTGGTGTGTTTGAGGAAGAGAAGGGTTGGGGAAGTGTGCAAAGCCACAGAGAGGAGACAGACAGGTTGGGGATGGCGGAGAACTAGGAAGATTGTAGGTTAAAGACTTTGGATTTGGTGCTGAATGAGATGGGAAGCCACTGGAAATAATGAGCAAACAACGGTATAAAATGATTAAATTTTTGCAAAGGATCATTCTACCTACTTTGAGTTGGAAATACACACACATACAGAGACATACACATACACAATGGGATAGAGTACAAGTAGTAGCACCAGCAAGAATTGTCTTGTATTATTTTGACACAGGATCTTACTAAGTTGCTAAGGGGTCCAGGCTGGGGTTGAACTTGCCTCTGCCTCTCAGAGTTCTGGGATTAGTGACTGAGGCTTAGACTAGGGTGATCACACTGGGAGTGGTAACAAACCATGGGTTCTGGGTATATTTTGAAGGTTAAGGATGACGTGACTTATAATTCATCACAGATAGGAGGAAGGTGAGGGTTTCTGCCTGCATATTTGGAAGAGTGGAGTTGCCATTTACTGAATTAGAGAAAACGAGGAAAGGAGACAGAAGTTCTGTTTTGGACTTGTTACACTGCAGATGCCTCTAGGCCATCCAAGGAGAAATCAGTAGTGGTAGACCATCTCTCTGTGGTCTGTTACCTTCATCAGTAGTTTGGAGCTGTTAATATTGCCCTATGATAAGACTGGTATGGGGATCAAAAGGGTTAACAAGTTAAAGTTAGAGCTCATGGTCCCCAGTTACATGTTATCACCATGAATATCTTTGATTATCTCATTTTTTTTCCTGAGAAAACTCACACTCCAAGAGCGTTCTATGTACATTAGTGCACATAACACTTAAAATTAGAGCCAGGAATTTTCTTTAGTCTCTGATAATCATCATTTTATAGATGAGAAGACCAGTGGATTCCTGGCCAGTCTAGAATTCAGATCCAGAATCCAGGGTTCTGTATGGTACTGGAAAGCTACACTCTTTCCATTAAAGTGTAATGGAATACTACTCATGTAATACTACTTTTCTTCCCTGGGCATCTCAGTTTTGAAAGTGCTTGCTAAAAACCCAAGATTATTGTGGCATTTAGTCTTGATGGTCAGCTTGATTATATCAACAGATGCTGAAATTAGTAAAGTGTATTTATGAGTATGGCTGTGAGAGTGTTTCCAGAGATGATTGACATGTGGGACAGCAAACCGAGGAGCAAGACCCACCCTGAAAGTGCGTGGCACCATCCAATCGGGTGGGGGCCCTGATGGAATAAAAGAGGAAGGAGGAGGAAGCCAATCAACATAGGCTCTTGCTCCCTCTGCTTCCCAGTCTCTGAAAGTGAGCAGCTTCTGCCATAGTCTTCCACCTCTCCATGAGCACAGAAGCAATGGAGCCAAGTGACCATACACTGAAACCCCCGAAACCATTCAACTGAAGTTCTTGTCACTCTTTTTAGAAGGTGGGTTATCAGGAGGTGGTTTAACCATTTGTAACCTTCCAAGTAATCAACCCTTAGGAGCATGAGCCTGGCTTTTTGGTGCAGGAAATCTAGCTCTGAAGAGCTATTTTAATTGTATATGTATACATTGCATGATCAACCTGGGTATGGTGACACATGCTTGTAATCCAAGCTCTCTGGTAAGCTGAGGCAGGAAGATTGCAAATTTGAGCACGGCCTGGGCAAACTGGCAAAACCTTGTTTCAGAAATTTAAAAATAGATTGAGTATGTAGCTCAGAGGAAAGGCCCTGATTTCCCAATGCTGATAGGGGGAAAAAAAACCAACATTAAAACAAACAACAAAAAACAAAAACTCTTAAGCTTTCTGAGCTACATAGGTCTGTTCAGCTAGAGCAAGTGTAGGACAAAAAGATGCATCTGCCCCACAGTTGATACCTTTGTGAATTTAGGGGTTTTCTCCTGTTCTTTGTAGTTTGTTGTCATCCTGCATTCCTTTTCTTCACATCTCACCTACATCTTGTATCTCCTGCTCCCCATCCTCTAGGTTAATGTTGTTCAGATCTTTTCCATTCATCTTTTTTTTTTTTTTTGGTACTGGGATTGAACTCATGACCGTGTGCTTGCAAGGCAGGTGCTTATGCCACTGAGCTAAATCCCCAGCCCTTTTCCATTCATCTTGGGATGGTGATTGAGACATAATTTATCCTCAAACCCTGTGAACTCTGCCAGAGGGGTTTGCAGAAGACCTGGAACTCAGTGCATTGATCCCTTTCCACGTAGCCTGAGTGCTGAGCACTGGAAGGCTGCAGCTCTTTCTAGTTTTGGTGGAGAAGAGCTGGCACCAGCTACTAAGCTGGTACAGATAAAATGACCCATCCTTCCCTCTCATGTTCTGGAACAACCTGACCCCCAACTGTGAGAACCAGTACCATCAGAACCCTTAAAGGACAGATCTGCCGGGTCCAGTCAGCAGGAGACAGAACCCAACTGTATGAACTTGCCTGAGATCAAACCCTCTCCCCAGGTTCTCTTTGGGTGTTTCTTGGCAAGGCACAAAATTGGAGCCTTGGCACTCCATGGAGTGCAGGTGGGAGCATGTGGTAGCTGCGGATGGTGAGGAATGAGGGTCCTGTGCTGAGACAGGCCTCACACTTAACAACATAAGGATGGTCAAATGAATGTGTTCGTGTGAGCCAGGCTGGACCTTGAACAGTGGTGGTACTGTGGGTCAGAGAGTGGTCTTTTAAAAATGGAATTTTAATTTTTTCAGTCTCCTATTTAAACCCCTTTCCTACTTCTATTTCTGTACTCAGGATTGGAGTGTGACAACTAAGGGGTACTGGGTTTCTTTTTGAGATAATGAAAAAGTCCAAACAGCTGTGGGTGATGAGTGCACAATTCTGAGAATAGACTGAAAGTCGCTGAATTGTACACTTTCAATGAGTAAATTGTTTGGTATTTGAATTTTATCTTGGTAAAGTTGTAAAACAAAGAAAGAAAAGGAATGCTTTGTTGGCTTGTTATTGGCAAAGGGATAAAGATACTCCTGTAATTGATTTCTGTCCTCCCTCCCGTCTGATCATCTGCCAGGGCTATTTGCCAGGTGGGTCTTTGCCCCCAGCCACTGGGAGCTGTTTGTAGTCTCCTGCCTCTAGCAAGTATCCTGGCACTGAGCAGTGGTAGCTGTTCCCTCTTCTTCAAGTAACAGAATCCTAGCTCTGGCCTTGCAGAGTCAAGTTCCACTAACATTTCTTTGGCAAACCCACATCTTACATTGGTTACTCTTCACACTCTTATGACCTGTAGCTTTCAATGTCCCCTGCTAGACTACAGGCAACAGGAGGGCTGGAACCAGACTGTATTTCAATTGTCTCCAGTGAGTGATGTTCCAAGAACAGGGAAGAGTCAGGGGGCACATTATCCCAGCAGAGAGGAAGCTTCATTGCTGATAGTGGTTAGGACTGCCTTCAGAAGGTGATCACACAAAGAGCAGTGACGTGTAGTTAGCTTCATTGTTAGAGTCTCAGAATAGGTAGAGTGATTGAGGACTCAAGGAAACAGGCAGATTTGAGAGAATATTTAACAAATTCTGGAAAAGAAGTTTAATAAAAAAATACGATAGTGTCTTAGTCACTTGGTGCTGCTATAATTATCACAGAGTAGGTGTCTCTAACAATGAACATTTATTTCTCAGTTGTGGAGGCTTGGGCAGCCTAATATCAGGTCACCTGCAGATCTGGTTTCTGGTGAGGGCTCACTTCCTGGTTTGCACATGGCTACCTTCCTGTTGTATCTTTTCATGGAGGAGAACAGAGAGCAAGCTCTGCTGTCTCTCCTTATAAATGTCACCAATCCCATTTGTGGAAGCTCCAGTGTCATGACCTCATTGCTCTCCAAAGGCCCCATTTTCTATTACAATCCTGCTGAGGATGAAGATTTCAAATTATAAATTTCAAGAGGATGCAAACCTTTAGTTCTGAGCAAAGTGACTATTGCTAAATAAGATTTTCCCTATATGCCTTTCTTTTCAGCCACTTTATTTTCCCTAGAGGACGACCCCTGTGTTTTTAATTAGTTCTACATTTCTGA